GGTGGGCGGAACCATCCGGCATGCCGTTAGATAGGGCACGCGCATGAATTGGTTCTACCAGGTGACTAAATAGATGAATTTCTCTACATTCAATTTTGAGTGCAGCCATCAAACACTTTTTGAATAAACGGTAAATCAAAGTTGATAGTTGACTCACGCGTTCCCGTTGCAATCGGGTCGATCATCGTACCGTTCCAGTTGTCTGCCAGTTCGTTTGCTAGCATACGGATCACGAACTTCTCGTACCTCGTAACGGCGTGGATCCAACTGATCCCGATACGAATCCCAGTTCGGTTTCGGGCACACTGTAACGTACCATTTTCAGGATTAACTCAAGAGCAATTCGTATTCGATCTATTTAGACTTTCATAGAACAAATTTGCATCTACTTATTCACATTTGGGTAAGAAGTCAAAAATGATACTCCGAGCGATAAGTAGGTATTTCCAAGTGAAAATGCAACAAGGCAGTCAGCTGATTGTGAGACATGTACTGGCACTAGGATCTCTGAGCTAACCAGGGATGACGACCGGATGAACCCTGACCGCTATTAAAAAGGAACCCTCAAAGCATTCTTCATGAATGAGCCATCTGACTGACTAGATAGACCCCACGCTCCTGACTTCCTAGACAAAATACAGAAAGAGCCGGGACATTTGAAGACAGCTACAAGTTTGATAACACTACCAAATACTCTTCGAATCTGAAATAATCTTGCCAATTACTTACCGGTTCTGCCTGGAACGCCATACATCTGCTCGTTACCCACTCTGGACCACGTATGTGAATGACGTTGATAGCGCCAATTACCAGACAGTGCTATCTGAAAAATCGAATTAGATCGATGACTCGCCAATGGTGCATGTAATTTCTGGATTTTCGATGTACAGAATGAGAAATTTCCTCGATATGAAATCCGGTGCTTCTATCCTCAGCTCCTGCAGCTTTGAAAGAAGTGATTACATTTTTCAAGTATTTAAAAGTACACTTTTGCTATAATCAGTAACCACTCCGGTTTGGTAATGTTGCATTCGCCAGCGATGGATGATTGAAGCAGAAAAATGGGCCGTAAAGTGAAGTAAGAGATGCAAGTCTCGATGAAGCAAACACAAAGGAAAGCTTCCGCAACAAACGACATGCATATGCTCCCAGTTCCAAATCCTCTGCCCCTGGAGGCTCATGAAGCCAGAGGCAGGTGTGAGCAGAATGGCAGAGCCCCGGACGAAAGCGTATAGGTGAAGGTGCTTAGGAAATAGCTCATAGTTGAACGCAGTGACATAAGTCGGTTCCCACCGCCACTGGTTCGAATCGTTCCTTCACAATCTCTTTACTCCCTCTCAGATCAGCTGATTCAACCACTTGTTGCCTCTTATATCTGGTCTTACGTTCACGGTACACTTCTACCACCCCACAACTCGCTCTTTACCTGAAATAGACCACAGAGTCCGGGGTACTATTTCGTTCCGAATAAGGACGGTGCTTTACATTTTTTTGCCGATCCACTTCCTCTTTCACATCTAATGGCCGTGCCAGATCATTGGGTGCCCCAGCTCTCCTGGTGTGTGGGTACTTTAAAAATCGCTTACAATGCAACAAACAAGGACCCTGCTTTCTAAAAAATGGGTTTGGCCTAACTTTCCGGAAAACCTGCAGGAAAAGACCTAATAATTCGTGTAATGCAATGAAGTTCTATAAGAAATGTAGTATTGATAAGGAATGATATAAAAATAATGATAAGGCCACTGAATAAGAGACAAATGGATGAGTAGAAGTTCCCGATGAGTCACTGCTAATTATGAGTCCGATAAGCAGTCATGATGATTTGTAAAACAATTCTCAGTAATGTTAAGTACCGCGAACAGCCTAGTTGCTTCAGAACTGACGAAAAAGTATTCATGGCTCTATATAATAACAAGTTATTATTAATAGTAAGGAAGAAGTGGCTCGAAAACGTGTTCAATTGGTAATGTGCGAAGAATGGGTAGAAAAGACTGCAATCTGCTGACCTTTGCCATAGCGGTCAGATGCCGGTAACTCTCATAGAAGCAATTAGTGATTTGTGGGTACATTCTGGATTAGACCCATCTACTCTACAAAGCTGGCAGTACCTTCTTCAGTGGTAGAAATTGAAGTAATCCAGTGAAACTGTGGTGTCGTGGTCTCTAGCTCTACCTCTCTGGCACACTATATAAGGAGTAAGGAGCTCAACGGAAGAAAATCCATTTTAAAGCAGGACTGAGAAGATAGGGGAGCAAGAAGGATATAGTTGGTGGAGATGATAAGAAGGTGATGATTACAGGGGAAAACGATCAAACGGTCATATATCGTGCTTATCAAAGCGAAAACGATGAGCCATGTGTAAAGTAGTCGTCAAAGCAAAGCGATGCTATCTCTCTTTCGCTCCACATGTGCGATGCGTGTTCGTTCGTGTGGATAGATGTATTATACGCCGAATTCGTCTAGATGATGCGTCAACGTATAAGCATAGACCGACCGAAAACGTCTTAAAACCCTATGAATCACTCAGACTTCATAACTCTATCCAAGGTCCGCCGTAAAACTATATGTTTAAAGAGTGGTCTGGATATTGAAATAAAGGAGCACATACCAGCGACGGTAAGAGCCCTTCGACCCAAAAGATTCCTATTCTCACCAAAAGAACGAGTGATTCGAATCAATACCTGCCGATCAACTGGTGATCTCCCAAGATACGCCATTCACTTGTCTCCGAACCAAAATCACCAACGATTTTGATTGGTTGCACAATCTATATACAATGTTTTGGGGGGGGGGGGGGGGGGGGGGCAGTTTCGCGCCTACAGAATTCCCATCTCCCGGTATTACTCTAGGCCCCAGTTCGTGGGTCTCAAATGGATCTGGGTGACCTGATTGATTCAAGCAGGATTTGATCCTGGGACAACAGAAATTGGAAGTGGAACATTTCCACCGAAAAGGTTTTTTCTCATTATGAAGTGATCCTTCGCATCACATAGGTAAAGCGTCAGAGAAAAACCTGCTTGATCTTAACCGCAACGGCTGACCCTGAACCTGAACCCAGGCTTGTTGTGGAACCTGGCCGTGAACGGAACCGATCAACCAAATCAATCATCATCGATCTTCAGACGATTCGCGGGGCTCGTCAGCCTAAGAAATTATTTCCGTGTGCTCAAATGTGAAGCCGGCTAACGTTGAAGAATCATCTGGATCGATCACATTTCAATCTCAGGAAACCGGCATAAAATCGCAAATTAATGCAATTTAGTGGCGCCAATTCAAATCAGTTTTTCCTGGCATGGCTACACCTATTCGCCATAAGCAATAACTATCAATCTATCCAGTTTCCTAATGGGCTTTGTGTAGTTCCCCGTCAACGAGACTTCCTTCTTCTTTGGTTATCCAATAGATGGAGATCTTTAGTCCGGGGAGGTTGCAAACCAGAGTTTTCACTTCCAAATTAAAAACCGATGGCTCTATGAATAGTTTATAAATTTTGTTATAAATAAATGAACGTAAATCGGGACTTACACTGTCATCGTCATCGAAACCATCATACATCCCGTACCCGCGGTAGTTGTCGTTCTGAAAAGAAAAAGAAGTAGTTTACATTTTCAATAAAAACTGAAAGTCGAACTGAAACTCGATGGCTTCTTCTTGAACTTCTTTCTTCTCTTCTGAATTTTTATTGAAATTTAGTACACAAACAGTTTTAGGCCACTGCTGTTCGTATCGAGATGGTTTAAGAATATTGACTACATATTTCAGAATTAAACTCTCTAAAACTTATGGACGGTAGGCAATCCTTCTGAGGTATGCGGCCCGCATTCGACTTCCATTTAGAGTTGTAGTATTGAATGCGCATGTGGCCTACTATGACTTGCGGTGGCCAGGATTACAAGTCAATGCTTTCATCCTCCCAGACGAGTCCAGTACCAATTAACCGACCCCAGAGGAATGGATGGCTTGGTTGGCCTAAGCAAATATCGACCAGGAGTTCGAACCCTGGACCATGCGTGTGTGATAGCGCGCCATGTGTCACTACACCACTTTCGCACGTATTACAGTAATAACGATGATAAACTGACTAAATAATGTATAAGTATTTAATGCACGCATAGATGCACTACCACAAAAGCTATTAGAAAATATAACGTTGATATAAAAGAAATAAAATTGACGATAATAAGCCCCGTACCACAATAAGCCTCATTTCCTCATCCATTCAGAATCGTACTACAGCATGAACATGATTTTTTTCCTAGGAATACTCGTAGGGGCCAGGGGCGTTAGCTGTTTATCCATTAGATCGGCCTAGGTACTACCAAATGACCACTATGAGAAGAAAATCTCCCGATCGGGTATGTAGTACATACTGCATCATATTGGGGGTAACCATGGGGGTAACCAGATAAATCTACACCATTCCACTTCGCCCTTCGTGGGCGCGATATCAGCCATCGAATAAAATAAATAAATCGAATGAAACAATACACGAATTAATAAAAAAATTTAATGAAGAAAGTAGAATATGAATCTTTTTCATATTCTACCACTCCACTAATCATGATTATCTGAATTAATTACCATGAATAAATTTTACCAGTTTTACCAATAAAACAAATTCGGAAACTTTGAACGATATTTCAATTTTCCTCTGATTTCTAGCAACTTTCCTCAAATATGAGACTCTGAAAAGTATATTCCCAAAGTATTATCTATTTCGGTAAAAACCTAAGAATAACGATAAATAAGTGTGAAGTTTTGAACGGTGACAAGAGGCTCGCAGGTTCGAATTTGATAGTCACCAAGACCATAATTTTTTAATAAAAAATATTTCATTTTAACAATTTTCATAATTTTGTTTTCCATCTCATTTTGAACCTTCGGCCTAAGGATAGTATAAACATAAACGTTTTCACTTTTTTTTCGATTGAATTTAAATTTTGAGAAAGTACAGCAATCGAAATTTTCCAACTTAAAATAGCTGGAAGATTGACAATTAGTTACTTAAAAATGTCTTGAAAAGCTGTGGTTCGACAAAACTTTTTGGTNAAAAACACTCCAAAACTAAAATAGCATCTTTCGCAAGATACGGTAGGAAAACTCACCCTTCGTCTTAGGACCACTTGATCAATGCGCATGATCGCGCATCGATTCAGTGTGTTTAATCGACGGTAAAGAGCACGAAGTGAATCGGGACCAAGAAATTCGTGGTCGAGTTGTACGCTTCGAATATCGATCGGGAAACCACCTTCTGAAATCGAAAAAGTCTCGTAACACTGTAAAAAGGTACCAACCAACCAGGTTCAAAGTAAGTGCAAGAGATAAATAAAAGAAGGAAAAAGGATGAAATAATAGATAGGATTGTTTACATGGCTGAACTTTCCCTCGTACTTTTCTCACAAGCCCTTCAATCAAACAGTTTCCAATGAGCTATTAACGTGACTTCCGCAACCTGATTGGTTTGGCCCTGTTTTTCACTTTTGTGCTTGCGCTATCTCTGAAATTCTTGTTAGTAACCAGTACGCTCAGAAGAAGCAGACAGGGCACCTCCAGGGGAGACAAGAGCAATCCCATGGCTCTTAAGCGTTATTATTGTAATGAGATCGAAGTTTTTCCTAGCACCCTTCAGTAATGGCGACCAGTTCCGGATGGAACACGTCCTTCCTAGGCTAGGCAACTTTATGTCTATATAACTTTGCAAGTAATACGACAATAGTAAACATATGAGAACAACAAAAATCCCGACCACTGCGACTTTAAAAAATGTGTTTTTGGACAAAACGAGGGGAAATCGCTCTGAGTCCTAACCTGGGCTTGGTCTATTAGATTAGGATTTGGGTAGATTGAAATGGCGATGATTACTCGAGGGTCACTTTACTCTTTTCACGCAAACTGCTTAACTACAAAGAGTAAACAAAGAACAAAAATCAACACTTTCTACGAAAAATCGATTCTACAAAGTTTCTTTTAATGTACTCATTTTTATCCAACCGATTAGTAACTATGCCTCATTGCTGAACTACGTGGATCGACTGGGGAGTTGTCTACAGGCACCCACTCCATGAGGTGATGGCAATCCACCAAGGTACACTGGAGAGTATTTGCTTGGAATGACGTCAAACAGTACTTGAACATAGCCTACGTATCACCCAGGCAGGCTAATGAATTAGCAGTTTCCCATGAATCTTTGGAAAATCCCAAATTTCTCTCCCAGGATCTCCCAACAGATCTTTCTTGTACCGTAATCTCGGCGAACGCCTAGTCATCAGAAAAAAATATGGAAAAGAACAGAGACTTTTTGTGGGTAGATGGGCGGTGGTGATGGCAAGTAGCTGCGGTGAAGTGGCCCTAACGGCTGACGGCAACGCCCTGACTAAGAAAACGAGTCCGCAAGCGGTTGCGCAAGCAGAGCGACATTGAGAATCATTCTGCTTGCTATCTGACACTGATTAACTATTAGGCCATTGGACGTAACAAGCCGAATGTTATGCGATACAACACAAAAGTAAACAACGAACAATCACGACGATGACGATGATGGTCATCAAGTAGCCGGTTCTGCGATTCCGTCGTATGGTAGCAGATTAGCTGACTTTGCCCCAGCATCATCAGCTGTTACTGCAAAGATGGGGCAGTGCCAGGCGGCACCACTACTACACGTATAGTCCAGGATCAGATACTGGTTCGATAGCTCCTCTAAGCGAGCCCTGAATCCTATCGTGTTCGACTTACTAGTCTCAGACTCGTCTATGAGGTCAAAAAACTGATTAGTAATATCGAGCTCTCGAGCTCAAGCATGGGCAAGGGTCTCCTCAAACGCCAGCATGATATCGACCAAAAGTCGAGTGTGTGGGCGCATCCCAAAAGAGATTGATCAGAGCCTGCAAACTTGATCTCTCTATCTTTTATCACCTGTTACACCTGCAATGCCCATCAATCATCAAATTTCTTGAGCGGGCGCCAATGACGTCTTTCTTTTTCCTTCACCAAGATATTCCGCTATTCTACACTTCCCACTCAATAGACAGGAAACTACTCCAGCGGAACACCCCTGGACAAGTATGGGTATAGGAATGTCTCGTTCGTCCAAAAATCGGCGTAGGAAAATTGGAAAAAAAGGTATTCCGGTGGTTCCACACAAGAATCTGAAACTCTTCGTAGGCCTTTGGCCGCCTGGGAGGCTTACTGGTTGAACCTGTACGTATGACCACCGGAACCTATTCGTCAAAAATCCTATTCGATTTGAAAAATTGCTTTTTTAAGGATTATCAATTTGCTTTGGTGCATATTTGTCTAGGCAGGCGTTCCATCAAAAGAAGACAGGCCCAAGGAGCAAGACAAACGGAATAAAAGGAAAAAGTCGAGGAAGAAAGGAATTGAGGCCTCAAAGGGTCTACAGTACCCATCTGAAATGAAAAAGAGAGCTTATGGTTCATAAATAAATAGATAGATGGATAAATACATGTCCCAAAACAGAAGCAAGTGTACCTAGGGGAAGAATGGCTATGTTGTCCAATGGCTACGATGGTTGTCTGAGGCTGACGAGAGACTTTATTGCTCGAGGTTTGTCTAATGGCTACAAAACCTGTCCATAGGAGAACATTAGCATGAAGACATGGGTATGACATCGTTTACGAACCATGGATCAGCTCTTACGAGACCAAAACGACATCACGAATGAAGCTTTTACGGGATTTTCAATTAAGCCGGTTCATCGGAAGGGAATTCCCCACATACAAATAGTTCGTACTGTTGGTAGGCTTAGGTTTCTATTGAGCTTCTCGAGTTACCAGTGAACAATGATCTGGGAAGTCAACTGGGAACAGAACATAGGGAGCTTTGTATAGGGAGGGTCCTAAAGAACGACCGCTGCTAAAGCAATTTCAGCCTCCTAATCGCAAGGTGTTGGGTAGATGACTTCTACTTGGCATTACTCCAGCATTTGAAAGTGGTATTCGCCCAAAATAGTCACCTTAAGCATTAGGGTATGTCCCAATATAGGGCTAAGCCCTTGTCCTCTTGATCGCATTTGGTATCATCATGGTCTTCATGAATAGCCTGACCAAAGCTGAATCTCCGGAACAGGTCTCAAAAAAAGTTGCTATCCTGACTCTGTAGCTAAAAGTGGGAATGGACGAGTTTTTGCTTTCTAGCTATGGAAAAAATTGATAGATAGGTTGTGCGTTCGGAACCGGAATATGTCCTTTCCCAATGCTTCTTCAATTCTGTACAGTCATTAGACCATGTAACTGCAGTAGCACCTTCAGCTGGTTTTTCACGGGATGGTTGATTCAGTTCTTTTAGAAGGAGTCAAAAAATGACTTGCTATTCGACTCTGAGGCCAAAGACGGGGAACGTTCATGATGGGAGAATACCTCAAACAACAGGCGCCTCTCCAGATTACAAAATGCTTCAGTGGACATCGCTCTGACTACCCTCCCCACAAACTTCGGGTATTCCAGTGATCAATTGTGCTATCGAACTTCCTAAGTAGCCAGTATCGACGTCTGATCTCTTTACATATTAAGAGACGTGCTCGAGTCTCTCAGTAGGTTTGTGAGAAGTTCCCATTTCTGTTCCCTGGAATAGGCAATTCCCCAAAGTAGCCTCAAGAAAAGTAAGTGAAGAAAGGGTATGTTACCGTAGCGGCACGGTTACTTCAAAGTCAAGTCCGAACCTCTGACCACAACAAGGTCAACAACGCGGATCGTATCTCCGCAGCCACCTTTTGCTCCCATCTATCTGATCGAAATTTCGTTCGACAACGATTACCTTCAATGCCCAACTGGGGAAAAAGGCGAAGACGAGGTAAATGTAGAGCAAGTGTTAAAAGTCGAATGGGAAGGAGAAGAACCGGCATGATCGTTTTCCTCTGATAAGAGGGATCCACGGCATGCACTCGTTTGACTGAAATAGTATCTTCAAAACATAATTACATAAAGAGCGTCCTCCTATCAACCAGCGACAAGCAGCCGATGTTCAAATCGAAGGTTCCACACATTCCAGATGGATCTGATCAATGCTAAGCCATTGCGTGTAGCAATGTTGGGTGCAGCTCGCTTACTTTTCGTATCAGAAACGGGAAATCCGGTAATGAATCGTGGGCCGCAATGGAATAATACCGAAATCCCCGAGCGAGAGCAATGGCTGTCTTGCCTGGACGAAAACTAACCCAAAATAGGATCCCTAGGGCACTCTGGTGATAACTATCCCATCACAGCCAACTCGATTCTCCGCTACAACTCCCAGGTATACTAGGAGCAGATCAGAATAGTACCTCGTCTCACTGAAGAGTCTACTACTTATTTAGAGGTACTGGAGTGATAAAAGGCTTGGCAAGGTTGGGATCTGAACTCGAGGGGCCGGAGCCATAGTGCGGTAGGGCCTCTCTTACTCCTCTGAATCATAGGGACGTGATGCGAACAAAAGGTACCCCGAATTGCTAGCAGAAATCGATGGCAGGAGATTCTTAAGCTGATAGCGATGAAACGGCCGGTTAGCATCCAACCATATACGATCCAGTTGTGGCGGCTAAAAAAGTTTTCAGAGATGGAAAACCGTAGCAGACACTGACAATCTAGTGGTATAAGGGGAAAGTCGAATGGGTGTGAAAATGGGCTTGTGAAAAAGATTGAGCTACTGGAAATTATGATTTTTTCAAAAGCACGCTTGAGAATTCGGTCAGAAACTTGCCACAGCTGGTAAAAACTGATTGAATAGCTTTTTTTCTAATTTCCTAGGGATGCAGTGAAGGGCTAAACTATAGTGTCTTCGATTTTCAGGAAAATCCTTAAATAGAACCTTTCANGGGGGGGGGGGGGGTAATTTTTAAGAAGTTCCATCTAAGGAAATTATCGTAGAAGCTTATCCAATCGATTAACTTATTCTGAAAAGAAGATATTGCGAACCATCACCCGATTGATAGGCTGTAACGGGACTGTAAAATAGCTTCACTCGCTGCCCGCTCAATCCCTTTCCTTTACTTGAACTACATAGAATAGTAATGTAGTGGCGAGAATTTGAGTAAACGAAGCTTCAAATTGAGCTTAACTGAAATCTACTTTTCAGCCATCAAATGAAATCCGAACAGATTCGTACTGTAAGTCCAGAATAGCCATTCCATGCACTATAAACGAGTTATGGGAGTTGATCCACTAGGGCGAAGTACTGAAGGGATACAGGATAATGCATACTAAGCCATATTTTTCTCAAAAATGTCCACAGCAGTCAGCAGATGTTGTTTTTTCGGGCATGTCCGAAACCTATGGAGAATGCGGCACTCTGTTGATCTGAATACGATCTCTCCCTCATAATATAGTTGCGATGACAAAATCTCACGACATAACCTATCAGAAGGTAAAAGGATGGAGTTTTCAGCACGGATCAGTCCCGTTTTGGGGTGTGCTTACGAGGACGAACCGATGCTATGCCCAGTGCAGTTTCCTTCCGCACTTTTCGATATCGAATGATCTGATACTCCAGAAGGGTTGAAAACCTGGTGGGCTTGGCCCAATGCCGATTACGAGTTAGATACACGGACCACACACGTGGTAACAACGCCGCGTAGAAATGCTCCAACTGAAGCTCCCCTCAGCTCAACGAATACTATGCAGTATTAAGTCATAAGGGAAGAGCACGTATCGTAAGCTGATTCGAATAACAACAGATGACAGACAGAGTGCCCAGAAAGCGCAATAATGGGTTAAACCAAATGAGTCCCGTCCGAGGCCGAAGTAATGCCCACAATTGGCAATGCTTGTGGGATGAGAGACAAATTTTTCTTAATATCGCCATGAAAAACCGGAGATGAACCCTCCACTAAGGCCTTTGTGGCTAGAACCAGTCCAGGAAAAAAAGTTCCACTCAGTAAATGATTCTGATTTTGAGTATATCTACCATGGCCGCATTTACAACAGTAGCTACGTAGGCTATTAAAGCGGCATTCCTACCGGATTAAATTAAGGGCTAGGTTATAGTCTATGAACTTTTTTCAATATCCCCCTCGAATTATAACCAGAACCTCAGTTATTCATATAGACGATCAATGGCGTTGTACGAAAGGATACGAACGGGTGGCGTAAAGCTCGAGCGCTGACGTCATGATAAATCGGACTGATTTTATCGCCAAAAAATTGCTGGCCGCTCGCCTACTGGAACGTATATTTAGCAGCCAAGCCTGGCTTCTTGGCCATGAATTCCAACCACCACAAAAACTTCAAATACCATATGCCTTCCATCAGAAAAGTAAAATGACAATATTTGCAGTAGCACAAAATTCGGAAAATTCCAAGAAAATAAAGGTAGGCAAAAAAGAGAACGAAAAGAGTGCCAAGGAAGCTAGGGTAAAAGTTAGGGACTACTCAAACAGGAAGTAAGTATAAACGAACCTTGATAAAGTTTGGCGTACTGCGGAAATCCAGCCTGTCTCAGCCAATGACAGCACTCAAGTGCATCTTCTTCTGAAATGAAATCAATTACTTCGACTTGGATTTACCGGTAGAATTATGAGTTGGAAAAGGGAGGTTCGTCAAGAGTAGAGCCACGAGAGGTGATCTGCTGTGGTCTAACAACGATTCAACTAATACTATTACACATTGGGCGCTGATCGGCACAGCCGTTGGTGGTGTAGCGGTTTTCGTCTCGTCTGCAGAGCGATTCTAATCGCTTTTTCGCGATTCTAATGACCTACATATACTGGTAATTGTCCGGAATCGGGTGACAACCATGACTGCACCAAAGACGCTACCCAAATGGTATACGCTCAATGGTATACCCATACGCTATGCATTCACTAGAAGAATAGTGCGAAAACAGAACCACGAAGGAAGTTGAGCGGTAGTCAGTCACTCAGGAGACTTCCCTATTTCATTTCACAACCTTTCTAAGTGGTTAGGCCCCTGAAATAGAGGAGAAGCCTGCCCTGACTGAGGAGGTATGCCAAATGGGAGGAGACCAAGCGACCTCCAAAGCGATTCTCACCGACAAAGCTTATTGAACACATTTTTCCCTACAGCAATCTGGAGCCTAGACGAATCATGGGCGGAAGTGCGTCTGTTCGACCCTGCACCTCCCTCAAAGTTGGCCTCCTGAATGTCACCCTCTGTTTCTTGCAGCCAAACCAGCAAGGAGGGAATAAAAAGACCCTAATTGTGGATACACAAACAGTTCGATCCGTCATCTATCCATCAAATACGAGTTCGTTTCTTACAGAGTTTTACACAGTCCGAAAGCTTCTTAGCAGCTCGGTTCTGATTCGTGCCCTAGACAAATTAACATGAAAAGCGCTTCGACATTTTTGGTTTTTTTAGAAATTCTTTTAACCTACAGTACGACAAGTTTATCGAAAGGTGGATCATTTCCTTACTTTTTTGCTTGAATAATTTGTTTTTTCGTTGAAGTTCTCTACCAGCAAACATGCGCCACTCTTTGAGCTACAGAACGCAAAAATCTAGCTTTCAACACAAAATATACTCTAAAAAATGAAGACTTGAAGCTTAGAATTTGATATAATTTCGAAGGCAGAGTAGGAAGTGAGAGGTTCCTTACAGCTCCGAAGGTGGGAGCTCACAAAACATCAATTCGGTTCAATCCTATCCGGAAATTAATTTTCTAATCGTTATCATTAGAGTGAACTATATGAACTGGCAATCTTGGCTTGTAACCATCAAGTGCCTGTTAGCAGAGCGATTGGCAACTGCTAAGCTGACACAAGCGCTGCTAGAACATAAAAGATGGGAGTCGCTCTTCTTCAATTCTGCCTCCTTCTATTTCATAAAAGAACGGCAAGATTTTAGCAAAAAGTCATTTGATAGAAATCAACAGAGAGAATGAGTCGTCCTAACACTTAGTAAGTGAACCTAGAGGGTGTGATCCCTAGAAAAAGCCTGCGAGCGCGAAAGCTCTCCTTTCTCGAAGCGGAGTCCTCAGGCCCAATAGAAATGGGGTTATAATGAGCGAACGATGGATGGAGACAAATCAAGTCGCCAGTATAAAAATGCATTCTGGTAAGTGCTGTGGCTAAGATGCCGCCGAGAAGTTAAGGGGAAGCGTTGACTCGACAGAGAGGGGATAAAAGCGTTCGGAAGTTCATGTTGGGATTCGAGACTCGTCTGACAGTAAAGTTGTGCCCACAACACAACATCCTTCACGAACTTGGGAGATGTTTTGATGTTGAGGGTAAAGGCATGTGAATAAACGATCGAACATACGCAGACAAAGGGTAGGAATCAAAAAGAAGACAAGACTGTATTCTGCCCTTATAGCAACCCACTCACCATTTTACCCTCTCCTATCGAGTGCTATCGTGAAAATCGAGGGAAGCAATTAGCAGGGGCAGGCATCAAGAAAAAAAGAAGACCCATGATAAGAGTAAGACAAGGAAAAGTTCTGGGACGAACCCCATGGATAGCAGGAAAATATTAACAGCAGACTAAGAAGGATTCTTTCATGCTGCTGTTCCTGGAGCTACAAAATCATGAGGGCTTCTCAGGGCGAGGGTAACATTTATTGACCAACGAAATTCTTTTCCGAGATGTGGGCTTATGAAAGCAACAAAGTTAAGACTTTCAAAGGCTACTCGAGGATTAGGATTTGAATTTACTTTTGGAAGTGGTTTTCTGATAAAATGGTAATTTTGAAATTTCATGTAACCTTGCTTATTGTTAGTAGATTACTTCAGTAGAGACATCAGAACGGCTCAATTTCAGGGGTTAGTGTAACACTTTACTATACATTACCACCTATTACTCTCGATTGGTAATAAAAAACCCTATCCATACCTGCACGCATTCGAATTCGCATAATTTCAAGTACAAACAATAATCTTGCAGTTTTCATAGAATATGGTACTGGTACGAAATATTTTCTACGAAGCATGGCTGATTCGGGAGACTGTATGTGGCTGGGAGGCGTTGGATATGTGGCGATCAAGGTGGGCTGCTTCTATTAGACCGTAAACCTGCGCATTTATCAGATAAAAACCGTTCCTAAGCAAATTTTCCTAAGCCTACGCTAGGGGCTTGTGTCAAAGTGGAACATGCGTTGTCACTTTTCCTAGCGCATCTTTGGATACCCCTGTTCCGTTACAGCAATTTACACATTAAACTACAACCTTGAAAAGATGAAAAACCTTTTGGGTTACGCTAAGCTAGTTGGGGTGTAACCCGGTCTTCACAGGGAGAAACACAGACATCTGTAGAGGAGAACAAGACGGTAATTTGTCGTTTTTGTTTGTTTTTCAAAGAAAATCTCGGACCATCATATCTAGCCTAACGAAGACGGGTATGACAAAGGGTGGGTGGGTGCCCAATTCGGAAGAAGCTGAATAGTACATTTTGAAGGGGCTGTAAAAGCTCCTTAACGTTTACGCATACTTACGGAAGTGCTTACGAAAGCAATGCCCGTGGAATTGATAATCAGCGGGAGGTGATGAAGAACCGGAGTAAGCCATGAATTCAAACGAAGAATGTAATAGGCCTAATGTAAAAGCTCAAAGGCACAAGTAAAAGGTAAAGTTCGAAGAATGGAAGGTGCAATGAGATAAAATCAAACAGAGTAACTCGAGCCCCAACCCTTCATGACTTTGAGGTCGAATGAAAATCATGGAAGAATGTGCGTTAGAGGAATAAATCATACATGCACCGTAGTCCGGTCTTATCTTTACATCAATGGAATGAACAGTGCATCCTTCAGGCCAATATGAAGTAAAGAAACAGAGGCCGGCGATATACCTAGAAAGAATACCAGTTATTCGGCCTGCTGCCAAGATGTCCACCAGAGATTAACGTTCGTTGTTTCGGAATCGACAGAAATTTCCTATCACCCAAGCTATTCCAAAAGATAGAAGGACGATACCATCACCATTGTCTGCTCCCGCCTTTGTGGAGTGCGCCATGCACTGTGTCCCCATTCAGAATCACAGCGCCATTTCATGGAGAGTCAAGGTAGCTGGTCATGAAAGAATTCTGTCCAATCTTTCATCTTCAAGGCGTGCGTGTAAGAGGTTGCGGACTCTAGCAGTTGCTGAAAGAAGTGATTCATAGCGAAAGGACAGTTTGTAGTTGTAAAGCAAGTACTTTGTCGAGAAAGGAATAAGTGTGTCATGTGAAAGTACAGGATTCCTTCAAAGTTTAGCTCCAAATGGTCTTTTGTAAAGTTCTGAAAACGGTTAAACTGTAAGCCAGAAGCTATACTAACCCAGAATTCCCATCGAGGATAGTATCGAGCAGTAGACAAAGAATCTACACCTTTCACTTTCATTTCTTAACTGAAACTGTGTCTGATGAGCTCTTAAACCGGATCCATAATGACAAGACTCTTCGCACCTTTTCACCTCATTAAAAACGAATTCCCTTTTTCAATACTATGAGAAATGTTCGACGATGTAACAGATGCCTTGCCATCTTCCTGTGAGACGATGGCGGATAATGACTGTAACGTCCTTAGAGGAGATGGTTGATAGCTGACAGATGAATGTGCTAAAGTCGTGCATAATGATGCAATGGAATGAGGCAAAGAACTCCACGGGAGAACCACTCGTACAATGACGGCCGCGTTTTTAATAACTGGTACGTTATCGTCACAAAAACTCGTGAATGTAGTGATTGTGTAGTGAAGCGAGAATGCCTTTCGCTTGAAGTAAACCACCTCTTGGACGCTACTGTTCCCAAGGGCGGATGAACCGACATTTGGTGACTGCCTTTTTTGAGCGCTGTATATCGAGCTTCAGTTCAGATTTAAACCCAACGATCCCAACGATCGTATACTGAAGTGACTAGCGCATACACTAACACACTTGACGAGCTGAGGACTTGGTCTTTGTTCTTCCAAAGCAGTCTGGGTGGCCACGGAGGTAAAGAGGACTCGGGTATCATTACGGTATACCAAATGAAGACGATGAGTAAAGAGGAAGCTTTGCCTATGGGTGGCCAACGACCACCCCTCCAGCTATCATGTTCCCGGCGTTCTACTTTATAGCTTCATCTGCTCTTTTTTGGACTATTTCAAAAAGAAGGAGGTGGCTCATCTACGATAGAGGTGGAAGAGTCTTGGAACACATTCAGAAACGAACGGTACATACATCAATGAAAAATTCGAGAAATAAAAAGTATAAAAAATGCAAAAATGTTTTAAATCTCAAATGAAAAGGCACTATTTCCAGAAGCCTAACAAATTCACTAAGATCAGCAACTGGTTCCCATCAGGACAGCAAGCAGAAAGTTCTGCGCGGGGGCATACCTACTATTGGGACGGGAGGTTGTTGAACTACCACTGAGGGCTCTCTAGGAATACGTCTTGGGCGTATCTGAACGAGGGAGATACAAGAAGTAGCATACGCTGCGCTGGAACCTGCACTTCACGGAACCACAGGACCGACATAAGAAAAAGTAACCCCATTGGACAACCATCAATTTGACTTTGTCACCTTGGAATTGTTGAAAGTGTACAACTGGTGCCCA